CCCCCCCCCCCCCCCCCGCTAGTTGTATTACATTTCTTCTTTCGAATGCTTCGCGTATTTTTTGCGATAAAAATTTTCATTCACTATAGACTAGTTTCTCTCATAGAAAAGGATAATGCGACAAATACCAATCAGTATGCAAACATGTTTTGCGACTGGTATTTATCAGATTATTTTTCTCATGAAACACAAGCAGTCTATCTCCCCCGTGGTGTTATCAATTTTTTATTATATTTAACAGGCTTTGTGAGAAAACTCTTTGATATGACAAGGCTTTATGATTTTATTGTTTTCATCATCCTCGATCTTTCTCGTTCCCCACTCTCGGAGAACAATGAACGAGGAATTTCTCGCAACAAATTAATCCAGTATAACTGCTTTGCTGCAAAGTTTTATCTTACAAACAAGAATTATGCAAATTCGTGTTCCATGCTTTTGACGTTTGAGAACGCGTCATGTAACAGATGTACATGTCGCACGCGGCCGGTTAACAATTCTCTTAGATATCACCGGCAGGAGAGATGAGATTTCAGGCATACTTTTCGCGCGCATTCGCTACCTTCATTCAGAAACGAGCCATGGAGTCGAACTGTCAACGACTTTGAGGAATGCGTGTGTTTTGTACGCGTTTTGAAAGAAAGAAAGAAAGAAAAAAAAATGAGAGAAGGATCACATACACATACACACTGCCGGCAGTCGTACCTTCTTATTCACATCACGTCCTGGAGTACAGTAAGACAGACCACCCACATCGAAACACCAAAGTTGTAAATTGGAATGTTAGTACTCTAGAGTTAGCTCGGCCCTCGAAGATCCCGATCAACGCCAGACACTAATCCTGTACGATTCTGTTCAACAGCCTGGGTGAATTATATGTGATGGTTGATGTCCGTGAACGTACCTCTTGGATGGACACGAACGAACAAATGATTGACAAAGTTTTGATGCAAGTGGAAAGAGCGAGCGAGCGAGAGAGAAAGAGAGGAAGGTGAAAGGAGATGAGAGAGTAAAAGGAGGGAGAGAGAGAGAGAGAGAGAGAGAGAGAGAGAGAGAGGAGTATATATATTTTTACAGGAGAATATATAGAGAAAATTTGATGGGATATATATGATGGTAATGATGATGATGATGATGATGATGATGATGATGATGATGATGATGATGCACTGCGCCGAGAGAAGTTGCTAGACAAGTGTGGAGCGAGTGCTTTTTTGAAAGCGTGAGGGGAGTTTTTTTCGTAAGCGTGGCCGCGAAAAAAAAAACAAACATAAATGAAAATGCCGGGCGATGTCCGCTGGACGGTTTAATGTCTTACCGCGGTTTTGCTTTCAGATTGCGAGAGCGTGCGTCGCGATCGACAGTGGTTGATCCGCGATTAATCCGTGCTTGCTCTCGCGGAAAAAGAGATAATTCCTGAGACGGCGCGGACGCGGTTATATTTGGAAAACAGGGTCTCTTCTCTCTCTATGGGTCCGGAAATGTTAATCGATGACAGGCGACGAGGGGTGTGATGCGATTGAAGTAATTATTATAGCATATTATACATACAATTTAATTTTTTTCAGGAAGCCTTATCCTCACGAGAATTAACTTTACGTTGGATTAAAGCTTTAACTAATCAGATTTGTATTTAACTTGATTTATTAACAGCAATTTTGATTGAAACTAAACACTGACGCTTTATTAAAAAGATGAAAAAAAAAGTATTATGTGTAATAATTCTCTATTTATTGTCACTTAATTTATATGTAAATTATATCTGTAATAAAAAACGCCTGTGTTATATTATTACATAGAAATTATATTAATTAATCCAGAAAAGTCTTGATCCCTAAAAAAATTAACACACGTGAATACTTTTCATTCGTGTAATGATAATAAAATTTATTTACTTGTTTCAGATTCGATATGCATCGCACATGTATCCTATCGGACATCGTATGTGAGGACTTTGAGCAGAATGCGGAGTGCGTAAGGGACATTAAAACAATCGCAAGAAAATCGGCTACTAAATAATATTATATCGGAAACGCGTTTTCATTCGCATATGTTTTATATAATGTTTTATATATAAGAAAAGAGAGAGAGAGAGATTATATCGATAGTATTTAATAAATATTTCTATCGTAATATTTTATTTCACGTGTTATTGCTGAGAAATATCTAGCCCCTATAACTTTATATATTATATATAAATATTCAAAAAATATTTCTAGAGTAAACTATATTATTAAATTTTGTGTTAACAAATAGATAAATTAATTTAGATTTAGTCTCAAGAAGCTTTTATTTTCTACGCTAGATGTAAGATATATTGTCAATTAATACAATTGATAATCAAGTTTATCTTCTGCTCGGGATTCACGGAGGAGGTCTGTCAGCGAAATATTGCCGATAAGACGGATCACTTCCATCTTCGAGGTTTGTGTCTCAGTTATTATTGGCAATATTGTAAACTATTTTATCGACAGTTGCAAATGGTACAAAATGCCGAGAACAAATATAAAAGCGCCACAGTCGGCGACGAGTCGCATCACCCTGTGTGACATCTCTCCGTTCCTCTTTCACTCGGGTTTTTACGGGCCAAGGTTCATCTGTGGTGGTGGTGCATGGTCTGACCGTGAGTCGTGTGTGCGCCAAATCCATCGATTAACGGGAACACAAAATAAGATGCAACGTCGTCTCGCTGTTCGCCGCGCGTCTCGCCGTGTCGAGGAGCTGACGATACCGAGCGTTATCGCGAGCAGGATCGTCGGACGTTAAGGGACGTTATGGGAAGATGGTGAGACAGCTCGGTCTCCTCGGCCACTGGGAACATGGGTTCGCAAACACTGGAGATCTTGAGACAAGGCGTCTGGGCGAGCCTGACGGGCGGCTGGTTTTACGATCCGCATCTCGACGTTTTCTCCAACACCTTCCACCTATACATCTGGCTGTTCCTGCTCTGTCTGCCGTTCACGATCTATCTGGTAAAAAGAAACGCGACATCCTGTATGTTTGTGCAGCTGTTTATTTTGAAAATTGCATAGGAGTCTTTAACATGTTCGCACAAGGATAAATTCTTTTTAATTAAATCACGTCTATTTTTATTTAACTTGAAAACTCGTCGCAGTTTAATTTATGTCACTTTTGAAAGAAACACGGCTATAATGTCTGCAATTATATATTTAAAATTCTCTTAAAATGTGTTTATATAGACTTTCTGCCACTGCGTGAAGTGTTATTTTTCTTTTTATGATATTTGCTGTATGACGAGTCTGTTAAAGATTGTGTTTCATGTGTTTTAGTATTTTCCTTCTACATTATATGTTTGGTTGGCATATTGCTCATCATTTGTCGTCGTCTTTGGAACAATAAAGTGTATGAATCATGCTCTACACTGTGTATATGATACAACAGAGTGTTTGGAAGAATCAAATCAAACCATCAGTCAGCAAAAGTCTGAGAGTGAGAAGAAACGAGCAGGCCACAATAAATCGAGGGAACAGTCACAAGATCAGATGGGCCATGGCATAGAGCTGCAAGTTTTGAACGGTACATTGCATAATTTAAAGATAAATTAAATTAGCAATATCTTATTGGATATCTTATATGAAAAAAAGGCCATATATATAAACATCAGGTTCTTAAGAGAAATAATAAAGTTATTAGTTTTTTACATTATAATGGCTAAGTTAAATAATTCTTTTTATTTAAAAAGATTTATATAATTAGCATATAATAGTATATAATAATATAATAGTATAAATATAATTATTTATAATTTCCTATTTGCTGTCCAAAAGAGATTGCGTGTATAATATATCCTTTCACATATTTTTTATAATTTGTCTCTAGGTAAAACAGATACACCACCTGTAGAATGTTCATCGCGTAATTCATTTATAGAACCAAATATGCAGAATGCCGATGCAGATAGTATAACATCTGAATATAATCGAGATAAACCTAGTTCGACCATAGATTTAAAGGTAGAGATACATAGGAAAAACAGCTCGGAAAGTTCGGAAGAGGCGCAGCAACTTAGTAAACCAATGGTGACCAGTATTAATGTGCATGAAGCTGAATTAGTTTCTGCACAATATCATGAGCCACGTTTTAAGAATATTATAAACGGTAATCGAGTATTTAATTGCATCGCATGTGAGCAAATAAAAGAAATAATTAATAAATGATTGTAATATTTATCTATAGAATGGAAATTGTTGCGACAAAAATGCGTAGTAATAGCGGAAGAAGATAGACCAGGTCCGCGTAAATTATGTCGGCATGCAGCTGAGGATTCCAGAAATCGACATTCTAAGCAAAGCCTCGGAAAAACTGGATCGGAGAGCCAAATAAAACAGACCAGTTCGTTAGAATTGGAACATCCTGGTGACGATTATCCATACTGGAAGTCCAACCAAAGTGTTCGCAGACTCAACTCCAATTCCATACCGATGGAACCACATCTGATAAATGATCATCCGCAGAGCTTAGAAATTATATCAAAAAAGGGAGATACAGACAACAATAAAATCTCATCTCATCCACAATCGTTAGAGGTAAAAGTCCAACTTATTTCTAAATTTCATTAGTATTTTGAATATGAAATGTAAATGATGTTTTAAATCTTCATAGTGTCTTGTTTCCTAATGAGATAAAAAATTCCATTTTTAATTTTAAGGTCATTACCAAAAAACCGCATCAGCAACTGGTACATCCACAAAGTCTTGAAACAATTGGTGCTACTAGTAAAAATATAAATAATACTGACGATAATAATCTGCCTCTTCATCCTCAAAGTCTTGAAACCATTAACAAAAAGGTATATAAACAAGTTGTTTTATAAAGTATCTTTTTACACGTAAATATTTTATCTCAAAATATACATTTATAATATAAATAAAATTGAATGTTGAAGGTCTTACCACAAAACACATTGAAGAGAAACCAGCTACAGCTCTTACCATATCTTAGTTATGGATCCGAAATAGTGCATCCGATAGCTGAACAGAGTGATGAACAATTTGCTAATGAAAGTTCAGGAGGATTTAGTCTGCGAGACTCTTATAGTCCATTACTTACACGGAAAAACATGAACGACGCAAACTCTACATCTAATAGAGACAGAAGTCTCAGTGCTGGCAGATTCGAAGATAGATTCTCGAGGTATTCTCGAATGATATGTATCATCAAAAATAACACAGACGTTTTAATGTCTTTTAATTAAACATGTATTAAAGCGAGCTTATATTGATATTATCTTTTACATTATCTTCTAGATTTAATGACGATAATGGAATAGACAACAATTCAGCAAATTCTCGAGATGCTTTGCTTGATGAATCAAAATCCGGTGTGAAAAGAAGATACAGTAATGCCAGCCAAAGCAGTCATGAATTTTCAGACGGTGAAAAAAGTAAGGAGAAGCGACTGGATAAATCCAAGAACGCGGAAGATCCACTCAATTCAGGAAGCGTAGTCGGAATAGATTGGTTATTCGAGAGCGGAGATTGTCCGGTGGAGCAATGGCCGAGTAAGAGTAAGTTTAATGTAAACAAAAACCTGCTTGGCTAAAGAAAAAAGATTAGTCCAATTATTTTTTGCTGTATGCAAGCTTTATACTGTTACGTTTTTCTAATTCGTGCTGCCAGTATTTTGGACTTTCACTCGCTCTGATGATACGGATACATCAGAAAGCCTACAGACGGCTAGTACAGATTGTAAGTTGGACATATTATAAAGGTAGAATGTCGTTGAGAAGATTAAGTTTAAAAATTCACGACAGATTTGACAGGCTGATGAGCACATCATATATTTAGCACTTTGCGTATAATTCTTAACTCACGATAACATTGAATATGATGTTCATGATAGAACAAAGTTTAGAAATGATTGAGCTTTTAGCGCTGATCATAAATTATAGAATTGACGAAAACTCTCTAAATGCGTTTGTGTACTGATTTGCGTAGATCTTCACACTAAAGAACCCGATTCAGGATCATCTAGTACAACCACTCTCAGTATCGAGAATGAGGTGAAGCGAAAGTTGCTGCCGCAGCTGGAAGTGGACAATACCGCCAAGCGTCATCAGGGAGCGATCCCCAAGCAAAGCCGTCCAAAACCCGCCGCGTCGGACGCTACAGATGACAACATCGTGTCGAGCGTCGAGCAACCGCGGGAGAATCTCAAACGTTATCTTGAAGTACGACGGGAGAAGGCCAGAAGGCGAGGCGGCAAGTTCGAGCAGACCAGCGGTTCGAACAACGAGTTAAGCACGCTGTTACCGAATCCGGCGCCACCGTTGCTAGCAGCGTTACTGAACAATTCCGGCCGGGATCTGCCTGGCCAATCGAGCGCCGCATCATCCGATTTGCGACTGAGTCGCAGCTCCGAGAATCGGAACTCTCGCAGCAGATACGGACGATTAAAACATTCTAATCGTACTCATCGTGGACCGCGCAGCATGGCCAATCGCGACGACAATGTTGTGCCGTTGACCGCGTTGTTTGGCCTGATCTCGAGCGGCGAGTATCACTTGGCCACCAATCAAAACGACACCTCGGAGGGAGCTGTACATTACTTTCGCGACGATAATGGCCGCTGGCTAGCTTACACGTTTGACGAAAAGGGTTGTTCGGACGTGGCTGCCGCAACGGCGATGACACAAATGCCCGCCAATCCGCACAATGAGAAATTGCTAAACACTCTACTGCGTCAGCAACTCAATCAGAATATACACTACGACGCTACGAATTGGGAGCTTGCTGATTCACTTAGCAACAGTTATAGCAGCTTATCGCTCAACTCTGCCGGTCTAACGGTGATAATCGACACGCCGCCGGTACTGTCGAGTCCGGCGAGCAATCAGACCAAAACGCAGAGCTCGCCGCCGTCGAATCTGATCTCCTCGAATACCGGCAGTTCGAATCAATGCACGCTCGGCGAGAACTCGGAACGCGAACATTTTCATCATACGCTAATTGCGCGCTCAGACTCGATGGCCGACAGAAATCGAAGGTTACAGAATCTGCTGGGCAATATGACTTTGAATCAGTATCAGTCGGATCCCAATAGCCGCATGCCCGTACTGACATTGCCACATCAGGAACCTGACATAAACACGAGTCTGTCGTGGAATCGCTTCGTCGATGGCCTGGATGGCTCTGACGGCTCCAAGCCCAAGCAAACCAGACACTACTACAAGTGGAAAATCGGCAAGCTGCCACATGTCAAAGTGCGCTTCGATCGTCTCGCCCTGCTAGCTCTACTCGATCGTAACTTGACCGTGTTAGAGACCATCGTATCCACATTCCTGGCGGGCACGGTCGCAGGACTGGGCCTTCTGTTGCTTCAACAGGGTTTCTATCGGGACATATTTGCATTTATATTCTGCTTTGTGACGGCCGGCTGTCAGTACTCGCTACTCAAGTCAGTCCAGCCCGATGCTGCGTCGCCCACACATGGCTTCAATCGCGTTATAGTGTTCTCCAGGCCTGCGTATTACATCTTGTGCTCGAGTCTGATTTTGATCTTCAACGAGATATTGAGGAACTTTAAATCGTCCGACTTTCGCGTGTACGGATTGCGTGTTGCCGATTATGATCTTATACTGCAAGTGCGAAACGTTCTGCTAANCCTGCTGTGTTTTCCGATTGTGTTCTCCTTAGGATTATTTCCACAGATCAATACGTTCCTCATGTACGTCTGCGAACATTTGGATATTCATCTATTCGGTGGCAATGCGACCACTAGTTTGGTGTCGTCGTTGTACTGTCTATGCCGCAGCTTGGTCGCCGTCCTTATCCTTTACGGATTCGCCTATGGCGCCCTCCTCGAGCCCAAGTCTTCACAACATATTTTATTCTCCATATTCGTCGGTCTGCTCGTCGCGATATCTTATCATCTGAGCCGATCGTCCTCTGATCCAACCGTGATATGGGATATCCTCAAGACAAATCTATGGCCGCTGGAGATAGGAGACCGATACGTGGAGGAGAAGGAGGCGAAAATTATCGAGAATACATCGTCGCAACGCGACAATGTGGCTGCGAGCTATAAAGAGGCCAAAAGTAAGTTGTCTGGCAGGAAGAAGGATGTGAAAATCAAAGTGGGAGAACAAATGTCTGACACTGAACTGATAGATCCGTTACCGGAGAAGCTCCGTTTGACCGTAAACACCAGACTGAAGAACGACGTAATCGTATGCGCGGTAGTCGGCACTCTGTCTTTCGGTATTCATCGTACGACAGTGTTTACCGCCCTGCAACCGGAACTCAATCCGGTACTATGTAGCATCGTCAGCTGCCTGGGCTTTCTTCTGCATTATATTGTGCCGCAGCTACGCAAGCAACTGCCATGGCTGTGCCTGTCAAGGCCGGTGTTGCGCAGCCATGAACATGCGCAATTCGAAGTGCGCGAGCCAGTGAGAATTATGTGGTTCGAGAAGGCCTACGTATGCCTGTGCTTTCTCGAACGGAACGTTCTTTATCCGGTCGTCTTCCTGGGCGCCCTCACCGAGTGTTCGTCAAAGATCGCAGACAAGTTTGGCGAGAGCGTGGGCGCGCTCATTGTCGTCGTGTGCGGTCTCAAGTCCCTCAGATCGGCGTACTCGGACCCGTCCACACGCTACCTCGTCCTAGTTTTCGCGGTGCTCTTCTTCCAACTAGACTTTAGTAATTTGAGCGAAACCTTCCTGATGGACTACTTTGTTACGGGAATCGCGTTCGCCAAGATCCACGAACTACTGCTCAAGATACGCTTCGTCGTCACGTACATCGCGCCCTGGCAAATCACTTGGGGCAGTGCGTTCCACGCGTTTGCCCAGCCCTTCTCCGTGCCACACTCGGCGATGCTCTTCCTCCAGGCCGGCATCTCAGCAATGCTCAGCACGCCTCTGAATCCATTGCTAGGCAGCGCGATTTTCATCTCGTCGTACGTGCGACCCGTAAAGTTCTGGGAGAGAGACTACAAGACTAGGAGAGTGGACCATTCAAACACGCGAATGTCCTCGCATTTAGAGCGCAATCTGGGTGCCGATGACAACAATCTGAACTCGATATTTTATGAACAACTCACGCGTTCTCTCCAGCACAGTCTCTGCGGTGACCTCGCGCTCGGTCGATGGGGAAACGTGGAGCAGGGCGACTGTTTTCTGCTCGCGTCAGATTATTTGAACTGCTTGGTGCATATAATTCAATTGGGTAATGGACTGGTGACATTTCAGCTCAGAGGTCTCGAATTCCGAGGAACATACTGCCAGCAAAGAGAGGTACATACGAAATTATACGATACGAGTTTTTTTTTTTTTTTTTTTTTTTTTTCATGTGAACTTTGACGCCATCATAACTTTTTGATATATCTATTTTTAGGTGGAAGCGATCTCGGAGGGTATCGAGGACAACGACAACTGCTGCTGCTGCGAAATGGGTCACCTATCAAATGTACTTAGCGTGAACGCGGCCTTTAGTCAACGCTGGCTCGCTTGGGAAGTCGCGAGTGCCAAATATGTGCTCGAAGGATACTCGATCTCCGACAATTCGGCGGGTTCTATGCTGCAGGTGTTCGAGTTTCGCAAGGTGTTGGTTACTTACTACGTCAAGAGTATCGTCTTCTACGCCGTGAAGTCGCCCAAGCTGAAGCAGTGGCTCGAGAATCCAGACATTGTCGATGCGCTCAAGCCGACGCTCGACAAGAACTTTGTTGATCTTGATCCCGTTTTTAACGTGAATATCGATGAAGATTTTGACTTCCGAGCGAGCGGTATCACGCGGAACAGCTTCTGCAATGTTTACCTCGACTGGATACAATATTGCGCTGGTAAACAAGATAAGGTGATACATTAGTAATATTCATATTATTTCGTCAGTTTAATACTAAAATAACAAAACTTAGAAAATTTTGACGTTATCTGCATACATTAATTAGTCGAAAAAATATGGAGATGTTTACATCTTTCGGTACTGCAAATATGTAGATAAGTAATTTAAATTTTATACAATATCAATCTGAAACTACGAGATGTATTTATCTCTTAGTTGAAGGAGAAAAAAAAATTATATAAAAAATCGTTTAAAATATCAAATTTATAAAAAATTATAAATTTTCAAAGTATTAAGATGACGATTTTATAGTACTAAAGAGATAAACAATTAAATGGAAAATTTTATAATACTAAGGAGATGATTTATCTATATGAAAATCACAATTTCTTTGAAATATATATCACGTTATTATGCTTTCAGTCGCTGGATAGAACACGCGATTCATATCTCGTATCTCTGTGCCTGTCATTGAGTCTGTTGGGAAGACGCGTATTAGGCGCTGCATCTCACAACACATTATCGGGTGTTGAGTTTTTTCTCTACGGGCTACACGCGTTATTTAAAGGTATAATACTTTGTTTCTGTGATGTATCGTAATAATTATGTGTTTTTTTAGAAATATTATATATTTAATATAATATATCTAAACCCCTCGATATTTGAATGTATTATGTTCGCTAAAAGAATTTTCACAATCTCTGAATTGTTTCTTGATAAAATATCAATGGCTGTATTTCTCTGTTTAAATTACAAAATGAGTTTTTGTTTGAACTACAACTAGTGATATATCCTGCATATATACAAATATCTATATATGATGATAGGAGATTTTCGGATAACGTCAGTTCGCGACGAATGGGTGCTGCACGATGTCGATTTATTGCGCAGCGTGGTCGCTAAGGGAATAAGAATGGCCTTGAAACTGCATCAAGATCACTTTATGAGTCCGGAACAATACATCGAATCACCAGCACTCTTCGAGGCTATCGACAATCATGATCAGAATCTCGTCATCAGCCACGAGGCAGATCCACTTTGGAGGAACGCAGTATTGAGTGGTGCGCCCAGCCTTCTAGCACTCAGGTTTGCATTATAATTCAACCACCAAAACATATGAAGTGCACTACATCGCGATTAACATAAATATTCGAAACTTTTAGACATGTACTCGATGACGGTATAGACGAGTACAAAGTGATAATGCTTAACAAACGTTACTTGAGCTTCCGTGTGATCAAGATGAATCGCGAGTGCGTTCGCGGACTCTGGGCCGGCCAACAGCAGGAATTGGTATACTTGAGAAATAGAAATCCAGAGCGCGGTTCTATACAGAACGCCAAGCAAGCACTGAGAAATATAATTAACAGTTCCTGCGACCAGCCGATTGGATATCCGATTTATGTCTCCCCATTGACGACCAGTTACGCCGAGACCAACGAACAATTATGCTCGATAATCGGAGGACCATTGACTTTTGGTACCATAAAAAGCACCGTGTTGAAATTGTGGAGAAGGTACGCGCATATTGAAGATAATTTTTCGTCTCCAATTGATTTATGCTTCGATTCGATTTAACTTTAATTTAAATCGAAATCTAATAATTCAACATGCATGTTTTTAGAATCAGAAGAAGATGTGGTCAAGGTTGTTCCTCCGGCGGCACTGGCTCCCAAGACGATGGAGGTTTCGGGAATGACGGAGTATACGCGATGACTACTTACAACATACACTCTGGTATTTATAGATATTAATCAATCAATTTAGTTAATTCTTTGATGCATTGTTAATTATTTCATTGAACTTAATATAAGAGAAAAATTTACAATTATATTTAAAATTAGAGTTAAAACATATGATTAGAATAGACCATAACTTCCGTCTATTTTCTAAGATATCTTGATTCTTTTTTTGCTATAATATAAATTTGATTTTTTAACGATTTCCAACATTGATGCAATAGATATATACCTTCGTACTTATTACATTATTATAAGTACATTTTTTACGAATGTAGGCTATGCTCAATCGGGTCATAATACTTCCGGTTCGCAATCGATGGAATCTGGCTGTCAGATCGGCGGTTCGACCGGTCGAGGATCTCTCGGTCGTGCGAATACGGGTTCTCTTGGTGGTAACAGAGGCTCACTCGCTTCCGTTGGGAAACCAACCAGTTCAACCCTCGCCAGCCTGGCCGGATTGCTCAGTAATAGCGATATCAAAACGGAAACAAAGAGCGAGACAAGCTTCTCTAGCAAGCTCGAGAAGGAGGAAGTTTTTCAAAGAGTTCGCGTAAGTATTTTAACAGCATTCATATTCGCAGAATGAGTCAATTCCGATGAATTAAATATAAAATTTCTAAAAGTTATATCTATCCTATTAACCGCTTACAGAAAGATTAATCTCTAACACATTAAATTACTATAATTTGAATTTGTGTTTTATTGAAATGTTTTATTATTTAATACCATTGTACGCGCGGTTGCTACAAATTGTCTGAATCAACATTGCATATTCAAAATTAGAATGACGTGAAGATTGAAGTTCTTTTTGCACGCATGAGTCGTAACGCAACAGTTTTTCACGAACAGATTATGGATCCTAATCAAGTATACGACGCGATCAATTTGGGTCGGCGTATAGACGTGATTTGGCCGGACGAGAGAATGCGACAGCAAGGCGGTCGTTCCGGCTGGCAACATTGGGTACCGGAGAGAGGTATGGAGGGTTGCGTGGTTCACCGTTGGTCGCCGAACCATCGCGATCCTAATCGACGTTCGCATGTCGACAAAGTCATTCTACTCGTAAAGATCGAGGATAAATACGTGCCGATAGCTGAGCAAGGCGTACGGGATTTAGGAGCAGAGGTTTAGTAAAATATTTTTTTTTTTTTTTTTTCGAAACTATTGTAATAACGTGCGATCATGGCTTTTGTACTCATTAGCACGATCGCACTTAGATCTGCAGATGGGCGATAGCGCATGTATATTCAACAACTAGAAATCTTCAAATAAGAATCTCTATTAGATTTTAAACCCCAATGTGATGGCAATAGTTAGCATTATTACAGATTTTATTAATGTTTCGATTCGTTCTATAAGAAAATGACTAATTAGTTTCTTATGGTTGTACTAATGTAATCAAAGAATTTTCAATGAAAACGTTTTTGCAAATCATAACCGGAGAGTGTTGTGCGGATTGCTAATATTAGTATAAACTAAGAACCTAAGAGAAATAGTCGCATATATAAAATATGAACTATTTTTATTGTGTAATTCTTATTACTTTTATGATACATATTTTTCTTTGAAAATATGTGTGGCTAAGACTCTTACTTGAAGATTTCTAGTATCAATGTGACAAAAGTGCAAAATAATGCGAACAAATGTATCATATTGACGATGTTGAATACTAGTTTCGTACTTCCACAAAGTCAATACTCGCCATTAGAACATAAATCGAAGGACTCTGATCAGCGATAATACTTAATTACATAAAATGTTTAACTTATCGCCATTGACAGGTTTCACTGCAATTATAACATTGCAATTTTTTTCAAGATATTGAGAAATTTACATACTTTTCACTTGCTTATGTGGATTGTCTATAAAATTTTCTCCAAATCTTAGGATGTTGTCTCGCCCCAAATTTTTTGATTATTTTTCATTTTTATTGATCTTGTACTTAGAATTTTCATCAGATACGATTTACTAGAATTTCTTGTCAGATTTATATTTCTTTCCATTTTGATCATCATCGTTGTTAAAGTTTTACTTTTTAAACGTTTCTACAGAAAACGCCAACGTGTTAAAAGAATCGAAAATTGTAGAGACCTGTATAGAGACGAGGAGATGGAGGAAAAGAAATATGAGAATATTTTGTCATCTTGTAAGTATCGTAAATATATATGTATATTGTTACTTCTCGTGAATCGAACGAGAAGAAAAAACGCTAATCGCCAAGTTATTCAATGCAAAACCAAATTGTATCATGTTGTACTATATACTGTATATTATATGATGACTATATTAGTTTATGTTCTCACACCGAACACGGAGCAGACGTTACTTGTTGCCCAATGTATATCTAGATTACTTAATTATCGGTTAAAAGAAAAGGTAGCGTTCGAACACGTTCCTCTTCCATTAATCTATAATATAAATGCGATATATATTTTTGGCGGTTGATATGGAAAAAAAAGGAAAAGAACATGAATTGTTCTGAGTAGTAGAATTGTACTATTTATGAATATGTAACACGATGTATTATATAAGAGCAGGAGGAAAAGGGAATCTCTCTTAAATACACTGTTGCTATGTAGGTCGTACGGAGTGGGTTACATATGGCAAATGATATCGATAGACTATTTGTACATAAAATATCATTCGTGTTTTTCTACAAAAGATTTTGTTATACGATTCTCTTTTTTAAAGTAGATAATGTAGATAAGTTGTAAATATCTCTTACATTGCGCATACCATCGCAAACCTCGAAGCGTCCAGAATATTATTCTATTCGAGCGTGTATTATTTCACGGGGCCACACACGACAGGACATATCCGTGTGCATTGAAATAGCGGTTACTATATCCCTTGCTTCACTTCCATATGCCCATGTACAAAAGCTCATTCAAAATCACATGGCATTACTTAATTATATACGAGCTGGTAAAATTGTTAGTCTCGCGACGGTGCATTTACATTTGAGGCACATCTTGTTAGATCGAACAAGGGTACTATGTGTAAATGCACTGGTGCTCCAAGGGCAATGAAACGTCTACGCTGTTACTCTTAAAAGAAAGTTATCAAATTGTTTATTTTTTTTCTTTTTAATTTTGTGTATATAATGTTTATAAATTAATTAATTTTGCTTTATTTGTTTCAAATCATGAATGTTATAAACAAATTCGAAAACGTCTATATACTGGTTATTTAAATAATAAGGAACGGTTGCTTGCAAAAATTCTGTAAATCCATATATATAGCTCGCTCGCGTTCGACATCGTGTAGAAAAAAGAATATATA